AGGGGGAGGAGCGCTCGGCCGGCGCGGGACGGCAGGTCGCTAATTGTGAAGAGGCGGCAATTACTTGCTCATTAGGAAGCGAGCGTAGCGCTACATGGCCCAGGCCGCGTATTGATCGCGCACCGGTGACGTCACTCCGCAGGAGCGGCGCAGAGGTCCCGACGCCGCCCGCACCTCGGAGCGGCAAGAGCAAAGGCGGCTGCAAGCGTGTCCCCACACCTCCCTCTCTTAGGGACCGTAGTGGTCATGCTTAGATACCCCACGCCTTGAAGTGCGAAGCTCAGTTTAGCGAATCTTCCTTCAGTAATTCTTGCATCACTCTCTGTATGAGTCATGTGTGTCTGTGTTTTCTTTTGTATCTGTCGTGTTGTTTGTGGAGTTGTTTTTTTTAAAATAAAAGCATGTATTTATAATGAGAAGCTTAGTCCTAAACATAGTGCGTGTTGTATTTGATATTCGAATGTTTCATTTCTTTCAAACTTTTTAATTTTTACTTTAGCGCCTTTCTTCGTAAGAAAAAAATTTTGTAATCGTGTGCCAGAAAAACAATTTTTTTTTACCGAAAAACTCTTGCTTGACGTTAATAACGACAAATTGGATAAATCTTGTTCCTAAAAGCAGAAAATTACTTTTTGTATCACGTTGTGTATATAGAATTCGTGTTTTGTGGGTCCTTGATATCGAAAAATTGGTTGACGACAAAACGCCTGTCCATCCGTGTGTCTCTCTAACGCGACAACTCTAACGCGTGTGTCGTTCAGACAATTTTCTTCAAAATTGATATTCCTATATCGATCTGAACGACCTGGAGGCTGCGAGCTTGAAAACGGATGTTTTTGATTTTCAGTGATACTTAACAAGAATCCTCAGTTATATTTTCAAAAATGTCTTAATAATAAATCCAAAGTTTTTGATTAAACGTTGTCCTTAATCTTAAGGACAAAAAAGTCTTAAAAAATTTTGCGGGTCTCAATTTCGTTAAAGTCCCTCATGTTTTGAAAATAGCAAAAGTTCTAAAATAATTATTTTTCTAAAATATGAATAGTTTTCGCGTTATTTTACATAAAATGTAGGCAGTTTTAAATAATTATTTTCTTAAAAACATCTCGAAATGTTTTCTTACTCATTAAGAAGCGGGCGTAGAGCTTCAAGATAAAAAAAATTGTTTCTGGTCACATTTCCGGTAAACTCTATATTTTTGAAAATTGTAAAAAACAACATTTCAAAAGTACAATATTGACGATGGAGATTTTTATCTTGAATGAAATCTGTTTTAAAATATTAGATTTATAAAAACTGTCATGTACGAGTTTTTTTTTAAGAAAACAAAAGACTACTAGATTTGCATATTTTTGTGCTTGAAGTTACTGCAATTTATTAAAATTAATTATCTCAAAAACAGCTTGATATTTTCCAGAGATAGAGTAAAGGATGCTTAAAAAAGCCGCTCTTTGTCTAATTTTCATTAAACGCTCTGAGATTTCGAAAATTCTACAAGTTAGAAATTATGTGGTGTTGTAACATCACTAGTTTTTAATGTTTGTTTTATTGTTTGAGTAGTCCGTGGTTTTTATATATTGCGCGACCACAGTTCGTTGCAGTGTAGTAGAAACTATTTGCATTTGCAAATGATATATGAATTAATTTAATAATACTGCTGACGAAAATACTATTCCTACGACCCTCCTTATCCAGCAACATAAGACCTCATGAAAACGTGCGCAGATAGTGAAGTAAAATTTATTGCTCCAAAATAAATCTAGGAGCAATGCTAGAACTAATACTAGTTTGAATTGGCTGATGGGTTATATAATGATTTTCAAACAAGCTAAATGTTTAATGGGCGTGTATCTAAAATGCATGTTGCAAATTCATTCATATTCAATCATCTGTGCGTTGTGGTCTCCTCTCCGCCGGCGTATGCCTCGTATTCGAATTTCGAAGGGAAAGGTATAGGACATATCAATTCACTCAGCATCTTCAACCGAATCCGGGGGGTCGTTGGTGCTGCTCCGGCATTCGGCATGAAGTGATCAGGGAAACCACAGAAGTCACCGACCAGAGGAATCGACCTGCATAAAGCGGAGCACTACAGGTGCCACCATTTCGTCGGTATAAAACACATCGAACAACTATTTAGTCTCTCACCTATTTAGTATCGAATTCACAATGTTTCGTCATCTCGAGCGTTCCTGAATACGCGTCGCTACCTGCAGAAGTGAAAAGTGACTACGTACGTAACAAATGTACGTACTCTAGTGATCGAACAGTGACAAAAGCCAAAAAGATCATTAGAATCAGTTAACATCCGTGGTGTATACAAGAATTTATTTTTTTGCTAATATTAATGATTTGGATTTACTAATTAACGAGATTTTAACTTGACTATGTTTCTTTTCATAATTCCCTCTATAAGAAAACACGTACTTTTCAATTGTTGTCGTATTTCCCTTGTAACCACGATTTTCTCGATCCACGTGAATTATGTAGTGTATATCAAGCTCCTTATCGAAGGCAATAACAAACAATGTGTCAGTAAAAAATAAAATATACTCTTATCTTCCCCAAAGTCTTATGTCCTTCTACCTACTCCCTTGACCTCGTTCCGTCCTCATCGCGACCTGCGTGGGAGGCGCTTTGTAAGAGCTGCGAGTCGCGGCGAGCGCTTCGCTCCAGTGGCGTGGCGAATGGAGCGGTGACACGGGCACCGCCAGGGCGAAGGGGGGGAGGCGGACCCCCGCGGGGAACACGTCTGCAGCGAGTAACTTGGCCGCAACTGCCCAAATACGAAGATAGGACAACTGCTAGAACTAATACTAGTTTGAATTGGCTGATCGCTTATCTACTGTTTTCCAAATAAGTTTAATAATTAATGGGCGGTAAAAGCAAAAGCTGCCCTTGCGCCAAAGAGCACCGCCCAGATGCCTGGGAGCGTTGCATCCTTTCCTTTTTAATGCGGGGGATACTCGCAACGTGCATATTTCCTATTCGTCTATTTTATGGCTTTGGAATTTACTTGCTAAAATGAACAAATTATTTACATCGAAAATCTTGAAGTCTTTTCATAACTCGATTGCGGGTATTGTTTGAAAGAAACTAAAACGTTAATATATGTCTATTCTTGTGTAATGTACTACAAATTGATTAGTTTACATTTCACGGTTATTCAAATAAATGTTTACATAATCAAATTTTGGAAAAATGTCTTTAAACATTTCATTATGCCTAGGATAAATTTTACAAACAATATTATTTCTTAAGTTTTTTTGTTACTTTTTCCATGTTTGCGCATTTTATTCCATGCTTGTGCCGCCTAGGTTTTGGACGTGGGAACGTGGTCGCCATTACGCCTCGTACCCATTCAAAATACTAGAAACCACATATATAGAAGTAATGTTTGAACATCGTGCCCGGTCTTAAAATATATGTATTCACAAATATATACAGTTCTTTGATTAAAATATGCCTTTTAAAACTAATTTATCTGACTCACAATCGACCGAAATAAATATTAAACCTGTGATATCGTGGAGTTCATTAGTTATGTCTAAATTATTTAGAGTAGTAATTTTAGTTACTCTTCTGTCAGCGCCCGTGTTTTATTTTCCCAAATACGTACGTATACACGGAATAATATTTTATAAAGGGAAAGTTATGTAATGCTGCTTGTGATCGATTTCGAGATTTCGACGGAAATACACGTTTTCGGGTCCCTTAATAACGAAAAAGTGTTGTTGTTTTTTCAAAATGTCTGTCCGTCTGATGCCTGTGAACACAACTAGTGCCTAAACCATGCGTAGAAATTATTCCAAATTGAAGAAACCGTGTTGTTCGGCCTCTAGTTGGATCTCTGACGATCTGAAAAACAGTCTTTAATATTTGAGGGTACTTTATATGAAGTCCCCCGGACATTTTTAAAATTTCATCAAAATCTGCTCGAATTTTTTTCTTTAAATTCTTGTAACGATAGAGTAGAATACACATTAAAAAGTTAGCATAGGTCCGATTTTAACGGTTAACTCTGAATTTTAGAAAATTTCAAAACTTTGAATTTTTTTTCGGGGTCTTCCTACAACTACGAAATTAAATATAGAGATTTTTCCTTCAAATGTAATTTGTTCTCCATTGTTTTACTTTTTTTTGAAAATTTTAGTAGTTTTCGCGCAATATTGCTTGCAATTTGTGCAATTTTAAAAAAGTTACAAAAACAAAATTTTCTAAAAAAACGGCTCTACTTTTTTCTTTTAACGATTGGTAGGGATAGTGCTAAATGCACTTTATAATATATAAACACCATATTACTCTATTCTTTTGTTTTTTTATAAAATTACAAAACATGTAATATTTGATTTGCCCCTTATGTTGTTAATATTTATAGTAGCGGCAATTTGTTCACATTATTATATCTATGAGTACACGTGCTTTAAACAATGTTGTATAAAGTTTCTAGAATACTCTACCTTTTCTGGGAAAACTAGCTCAAAACTCCGCATTTTCAGAAATGTTCAAACGCCATTTTTCAAAAAGACGGCTCCAAGTTTTTTCTTCATACATTTCGAACGGACTGTGCTAATTTCAGTCGTTCATGCGACGTAAAATTAATTTCGGTGTATTTTTTAATTACAACAAAGGTACGATTTTTGCGATTTCTCAAGCCGTTGATATGCATATTTCCAGCAATTTTTAAACGCTATTGTATTTTTAAGTTTAAGTACTTAAAATGACTCCAAATGAAGTTTTTCGAAAACTCAAAAATTCTTTGAGAAAAAGAG